GAGAGAGAGAGAGAGAGAGAGAGAGAGAGAGAGAGAGAGAGAGAGAGAGAGAGGGAGGTCGTGTGGAATTCGTTTCGCGAACCGCATTGCCCGTTGCTGGCTTTTTCCCTCTTTTACTTTCTTCTTTCTTCCTTTTCTTCCTCTTTTCTTCGCTAATTTTCTCCGACTACACCACTCTCTATCCACGGCATTGATTGATACTGCGACGTTGCTAGGCAACGTCTCGGAGCAGACTTGTCTGTGTACACAACAGTGTAGGATTACGTGAGAGCCCGTTCGAGCTCCCCTGGCAACGAGTTACGTGCCATTGTACCGCATCATCAATTTTTTAATTCGACCCAAGACTCCGGGCGAAATTTTTTCCGAGTTCCCCTCCGTCTGTGTGCGAAAAGAGGTCTGAGAAAAGCCCGAGTCTCTCGTGATAGATCGTAGAATATTGAAAGATAAGGTCAAGCCTTCAGAGAGTAGTTATCAATTTTAGAAATCATTTTTACTATCGTTCGCCCCTTCTAAAGAATTTATTTAATATACACATTTTCATATACTACGCGCACACGTAAGCAGTAATCCGTGATTTTTTATAATTTTTAATTTTTCGATTGTCATTTTTATTGCTTTTACTGCGTTCCTCTTTTTTACACGGCTGGCGAATATGTTGAGGATATTGGAAATTTTCTTGCTTGATGTCAAAAGTGGAGTATCTCCGCGTTGAAGTTGGCAATGGAGGGTTGCTACAGGATGTGGCGGCGATCGATTGCCAGCTGGCAAGGAACCACGTGACGAGGTGCGGTGTTGGTGACGTCATGGAACGACTGCCCCGAGTAACTCTCACGGCAAACTGTGACTGCTGATTCATTCATCCTAATTATCTCATTACGTTTCGGAAGAACCGCACTCCCTTTGTTCTCTCATTGCGTCGCTCCTGTAATTTGCACACGACCGCGTTCTTCCACGTGAATTCGCATAATATTTGCATTCCACGGCTTTTCCACGAGATAAACATTGCAATCCTCCCGCATCTCTGTATTTATTTTTCGCAAAACCCAAGTCTTACGGACACCTAAAATTAATTAAAAAACAATTTTTTTTCTACTAATTTTTTCATAGTACATGTTTTACTAATTGTGTTTTTTTTATCCATGTTGTTAAGGGGATACTGAAGTCGATAACAAACTCGAACAATGTTGGTGATACAGAGACGATCGTCACTAACACAATCACGCTATCCTTTTCGTTTTTTTTTTACATACGTAACTTGTATAAATGTGGAAAACCTAATCACGCATGTATAGAAATCTTACTGCAAACTTTTTCGGTTTTCTTAAGCTTCCGAACTAAGATGCGAAAGTTCTTTAAAATTTTTCTGTTTGGAGTATCCACATTTTCGGTATATATAAGCCGTGGAACTTTTGGATTAAGCAAATATTACGCTAACTTGAGATTTTACATTTAAATATTTTTTTTGTTTTCATCACATATTGAGCAATGCTCCTATTTGTTTTTGCACGTACTTTTTATTGTGTAAAAGCATTTATAATTCTATACAAATTCTATACAATATGATGATAGACTTTACAGAAAAATGTTGGTATTCTGTCGATAAAGTTTTCAACTTCAGCATCCCCTTAAAAATTAAGTTTGTCAATATCCTTAAAGAGAAGTAAATTGACAATGCAATTGTTTTTTTGAACGATTTCAAAGAACCTCAATAGCTATCTATAACTTTTAAATCATGTATCAAATTGTCCTCATTTTTCTCGAAATGTATTTCATGTAGATTAGATCATTCTTGCATAATTACGGCCATTTTAGGAAACGAAATGTGTTATTAAAAATATGTTATATTTCTAGCGAAATTTAGTACGTGTCTTAGTAAGATGAATTTTTCTGAGTCTATTCCTATTAAAAACATGATAAAATTGAAAAGAATTTACATAGAAAAAAGCTATAATATTCTTTCTATATGCACATCTATAACTCACTCTTCGAATTGATTTCAATCCGCACCGTCACGTGCTACTCACCTACAAAGAGCTGGGAAAACGTGAAGCATCGCTCGAATAATACGATATTAACTTACTTTTCTCATTTATCACAAGCTATAACTAGGCTTGGCAGCTCCTACTATCTTAACCTTAACCTTACATCACCCGGTGGCTGAACTACCCTACCTCTATGAAGCCAGACCGCTGCGTTCTTGCGCATTTATACGCAGTTGTGACCCACTGTCTTGCTAACTGTTGTCTGCGAACGTCTTGTCTTGAACTTTGACGATAACTAGGTTGGGATTACTCGCAACGCTCGATTTCACGCGCATTCTAATTAAGCGGCACCATAACCGATAATGTTTAACAAGTAAGATTGATGCCTGGCCTTTGAGAGCCGATACTGTTGTTTCCGAATGTTATACTGATTATATTATATTGATTTTTAAAAATCTAATGAGTGAAACGTTTCGCTCCTTCTCAGTAAACAATGAATGTTGACAAAAGGTGTCAGGATTACCATTAATCAAACATAGCCGATATTTATGACTATAAACGCGTATTTGACGTGGTGAAATTATGAAAAATAAATATATAAGCGTTTACATATAACGCTTGAATTATTGCGTTAGCTTTCATTTTCATTTATTCATTTTCGAAACCGTATTTATATATATTTTTTATATAGTTTGTTTTCAACTTAGAATCTAATGGAACAAATAAGTACATTTTTTATGGAAATTTTAATCTTTGGACCTCGTGTTTCTTCTTATCATCCAATTTCCGACAGCATCCGCTTGCGGCAATCGCGGATATACCTCTTGGGTTTAACGTGGTCAGGCATACACCGATGATCTAAAACGAGAACAACCTACTTTCTATTCAAAATATCAGGGCCAGGCTCTCGGAAAAGCTTGGCCAAGTTCATGAGAGAGAGAGAGAGAGAGAGAGGGAGAGGGAAAGGGAGGGAGAGAAAGAGAAAGACAGCATATTACTGGAATACCTAAAGTTACGTACTCGAGCTTGAAGAGCGATTTATATGCGGACGCCATCCTTAGGAGTTTTTCGATATTGCGGCGATCCGCTTAACATGTATGAAGAGGACTCAGCTGGAGAAAAGTTCAGCTATATTTAGCAATCACTCTTTCTGATTGTTATAGGTTTTCTATCATGGGACAAAGACAACTGTCACGTGGATCTGGAGAAAGAATTATTGGCTTTAGTAGCACAAGCCCCCGAAGGCGAGGAAGCCAGAAACGGTAATTATTATTTTGAGCAGGGACTGAAATCAGTATTACAAATATTTTTTTCATTCCACTATACTTTGGTATTATACAACAATCGGAAAATAATCGATTTCCGTAAATCCCAGTATTATGAAAATTTCGATGTAATTCTGAATGCTGGACGTCGAAAATGTCCAATACCAGAGAAATAAATCGACGTTCTACCTTAATTTATTATTATTAAATTTTATATATTTATATTTTAAAAATTGTAGTCTATTTTTATGAAAAATTTATGATGTAGCAAAATAACTTTACTTATAGACTATCACTGCACTGAAAAACATGGTAAAATTAAAAAGAATTTACATGAGAAAGAGCTATATTTTCTTCTTGTCTGGATTAAGAATTAATTAATCACTCTTGTGATTTCAAGGGACGATATTTTCACTATTGCTTCATGTGAATTTCCGCTTGTTTCGAACGAAAGTAGAAATTTAGAGAATACCAAGACGAAAATTGGCGGTGTAGCAGTTTCTTCAAGCATACTTAACGAGATTAGAGATACTACTAAAAAATTTACCATTTCTTTAGCAAGGTAAACTGTGCTGGCAGCCTATTCGTGCACTGCTAGAAAGACTGGTATACACAGAAAAATATCATTCTATTACTAAGGAAATCGATTATTCAGTTTACTTTCGTACTTTTAGGTAATTGTTATCTTCAACAAAGAATATTTTCATGATAATAGTTTGAAAATATACTTAGCACAAATTTTAAAAAAGCTCATCGTTTTGTGTTTAAAAAAATAATTTATTCTCTTTATAAGAATATTGTATATAAAACTTTATCGAAGAAAAGTTGGTTCTATGCAATGAGCAAACCAAATTTCTCTTTTAATTTAACATTCTAGATTGAAATGCTACTTTGAGAAAAAAATCCTTTAATATTTATTTATGGACTATAAAGTTCATTTTTGCAAAATGAAGTTTATTTCTGCAAATAAATTTTACATCCCGCAAATAAATTTTTAAATATTTTTTCTCTGTATAAACTTGCTGGGATTGAAAATATATTAGATTTGGTTTCCGGGTTTGAGTCGCGTGGATTCTTCTTCGTCTGATTCTACTTTGGCGACTAAAAAAATTATTTTTTTTTTTTATTTTCTTTTCTTAGTTTGGCTCAAACCCGAAAACCAAATCTAATATTCATGGACACCGCAAAAGTCTCAAGTATCAAATTGAGAATATATTGTAAGTAAATTTTTAATGCTTATAATGAAGTTATGATATGTTTGTAGGGAATGTAAACTTATAAAATATTTCAAAAAATATTTTAATAAATATTTCAAACAAGTAACATTTATTTGAATGCAGTATGTATTTTTCTGTGTATAAAATTGAAAAAAATTTCATATGAAGAGAAGCTATAATATTTTCCTCATGCACTGAAATTTTGATAATGCTGGCGTTATGTTACCACGTAACACGCGTCGATAAAATGAGCAAATGGGCTTTTCAGGCGAAAGGTTGATCCAATATGCCACCGAGAATCTCGTGACGGAAGTTCTCATACACCCGCAAACGAATACATTGTTACAATGTATCCGTAACTTTCTCGCAAGCTTCACGAAACACCGGCACATCATACACGCTGGATACACATTCGGTGGTAATGGTTCCTGGATATTGCAGGTACTTACACAACTCACACAGCGTAATTAAATAATGCTATTAATATCGCGCGAATTCTGAAAGAGTTATTATCGCGAATTAAGCAACACGATCAATACTGTTATTCAGGATGGGACCTTCAGTCTCGCAGACTTTCTGGATGCGTTCAGTGAACATGAGGTGCAGAGAGTCCTTCGTGCCTACGAAAATAGTGTTACCGTAGATATACATTGCGTGGGTGTCGGCGATTGGACGACGAGTCGATTATCGAAGGAAGCTTGTTGCAGGTGTGTACCTCGTGCGTTTTTACATAAAGGAGATATTCTCGTCTCTCTCGCTGTTCGTACACCGAAAGCCGCCTCCGTGCAATGGCAAAGATAGGATGTTGACATAACTAATCGAATGATTAATAAGAATATGTAAATTTTTATACATGTATTAAATCATTTAATACATGTATTTATACATATATTAAATCTTATATTGGTGTTGAAAAACTCACGACCTTTATTTTACTTTCTCTGAATAATTTAGAAATAATTTTTTCCCAGCAAGAACGTCAAATTTTCGAGATACAAATTATCGAAAAAGCTAGGCTTTTCGCGAGCTAAACCTCGAATGATTAAATGGATAACAAAACACTTTTTTTATCAATTTTAAATAAACTTTAATAGAATTCTAATTTGAGACTTAACTATAAAAATATATTATAAAAAAAATTTGAAATTTGCTATAAATAATTTTCCTCGACCTTTTCGCCAAGAGAAACTTGTCTCTACCCAAACAGCACAGATCTCCACAGAATCCGAAGACATTTTGAGAACGTCCTTACGTCCTGAGAACGTCCCAGGATATCCTCCGGAGATCTTATGCTGTCCAGGAAGATTGATTGAAAAGCTTTTCGATAAAATTAATTTCGAGTTCTAAGAGATCCTCTTTATATAATATATTTATATTATATATATGCATATATATGTATATATATTATAATATCTAATAATATAATTAATTTTTAATTAATGATATAGTATAGAAGTATCCCAGATAACATAATATCTAAAATCGGAACATAAGATGTCTTAAAGATAATCTTTAAGACGTCTTATATCCCGATTTTAGATATTATGTTGTCTGGGATATTAAATCTGATAATA